AAAAAAATACTATGCGGATAGGGAGGAAGCTGGCCAATGCTCCACATTTTTAGGAGTGCTTTAAAAATAACACACGAGCTGTATCCATTCCCTTCCCCTTCCCCCCCCCTCCCCCAACTTTCATTTTTCTAGCCCCACCCATTCATCCTGGCAGGCAGCTGAACCCCAGCCATCTGGCATCCTCGTCTTAATGACACATGTTCCAATTTACCTTAAGCCATTAGAGCTGTCCTTTTCAGTAAGAAGGCATCCGCCCGCGTTTAGGCACTGGGCTCCAATCAGACAATGGGCAGAGGGAGCCCTCTGTGGGGAGAAGTGGGCATAGCTCCCCCAACCACTCAATACCTCAAGGCCTGCACCTTCAGGCTCCAACAGGTCAGAGGCTTCCCATCCTTTACAGGGCTACCCAGGCTGCAGCAGGTAGCAGAAAGCTCTGGGCATATTCAACAAACCCTTAGTTAATGCACTGCAAGTATGTGCCTCGAAAGGACAAGAGTACAAAATGAATGCAATCAATACGCATTACAAACATCTAATAAAATTTTTTAAATAGAAGAAAGGACAAGATTAACCAAAAACACACACTTTCATCCAATTATAGTAAGCTTCAGAATAATGAAGTCTGAACCTGGGAAAGTGACAATCATTTTACTACCTTATGTCTAAATTCAGTCAATTATACTATTGGATATTTCATCATTTTAACTCATACCAACAAGGTTTGTTATTTAAAAGCTAGCATATAAGAACTTTTTCTGGAGATAGGCTGTGTTCATTTTTAAAATTAGGAACAGGCACTGGGCATGGTGGTACACATGCAATCACAGCACCTGGGAGGCTGAGGCTGACTGCCGTGAGTTCTGGCCAGCCTGGGCTACGTAGTGAGTTCAAGTCCAGCCTGCATAGTAAGACCCTGTCTGGGGTTGGGGTGGGGGCAGACAGGAACGGGAATGGAAATAAGGAAGAACACCAATAGGTGAGACAAAGGAAGATAGGAATAAGGTTTCAGTAATTAATCTTGTGTCAAGTTAAGATATCACCAGAAAAGACTGAAAATTATGCAATATTTTAAACAAGTATGAGTGGGACTAGAATGTTGAGTAGTCTCCTTATAAGTCAGGTTTTTGTTTGCTTTGTTTTGTTTTTCTGGCACTGGAAACTGAACCTAGGGCCTCACGCATGGAAGGAAAACACTTTAATGCTGAACTACCTCTTTAGCTCCCTAGCCCCTTTTCCTGAGACATTCTTGTTAAATTGACAAGGTGGGCCTTGAATAAGCAGTTTTCCTGTCTCAGTCTAAGTAACAGGCTGAAAGAAACAATGTTTACAGGAAACAGGACAATTTTTTAATTAAGTATAAGATTTGTGCATCCCAGAAATTAAGGGAATATTAACAGAAATCTCTAATTTCTTCTAAAATCTTGGCTTGAAACCATATAAAGGTTACTATCAGGAAACAGTGTAGCCAGATATTAGGCTAATTCCAAGTGTGTTGAGAAGGAAAGTAAGGTCCTGCAAGTGTATATAAATTAACTTAGTCTACAGGTTCAAGGAAAGCCTCTCAGAGAAATTGCCTTTGAAGTGTGACTTGAGGACTAAGGAAAAAGCAGCTGAATGGCAAGTAAGGAGGACAGACCAGCAAGTGCTTAAGGTGAGAGAATACAGCACTTCACTGCACAGGCTACAGCAAAGAGAAGGGCACCTGGTAAGGTGAGGAAGCGACATGAGGGGCTGGACACAGAGGAAGCCACGGTGTGATGATGGCATTCTAATTTCACAAGTCTGCTTTTGCTGTACATACTTCCTGTTCCTAGGCATCTGAATACTAGGATAAGTTAAATTCCTTATTTTAGTCCTGAGCAAACCTCATTTCGCTGCTACGTTTAATACGCTAAGCCCTGATTTAACTACATATTGTCATCATTGCTAAATTTTTATATAAATCTTTATTTAATCTTCATATTCACAAGAAGTAGATGAGAAAACTAGTTAAGTACCTGTCCCAGGTCACACAACTACAACACAGAACAGTCAGGATACACATCCAAGGTGTCTGATCACTCTCTAGCAGTGGTACGACAGTAGTCTTCCCTTTAAGGAACTTGCAGTCCAGTAAACAGGCAATATACAAGAGATGGCAAACCGCCCCACAGCGTGATGTACAGAGCCAGGGAAATGTGAGGCCTAATAAAGTTCTCCATGAAAATAGTGTTTAAGAGATGGGAGGCTGAGCGGCTGTGAGTTTCAGAGTGCTGGAACTTGCACACATTACAAACATCCACGAGCCAGTAAGACTCACAAAAATGAGGTCTGCAAGTTCACCAGCACTGTGGTATGACATTCCCTTCTCACATTTATAAGGATCCTAAATACAAGCCAAACCTAAACTTCCAGATTATTCTTCATAAAAACCACAGAAATTTTCTGTAAACTCAAAGGGGAAATAGTAAAATTCTGTGAAATCATAAGCACCATAGTCAATATGAATCTTCTGGCAAAAGTCAGAGCAATGTCTAGACAAATGTAAACAGCTATACCTTGCCTGCTCCCCATGAAACTTACTCCTTATTTTAACTTTACTGTATTCCCCTGCAACAGGGAAAATGTTACCTCTGTGTATCTTCCCAAGTCTACACATCTGTCACTTAGATGTTGCTCAATAAATCTTTGATAAGTGTATCAATTCCCACTGTTGCCATGACTGGATTGGATTCCCACTTCTTTCTGAAAACTAAAATAATGCCAAGGAAAAGCACTCATACAATTAGAGCCTCTTTTCTTCCCCCTCCTTCCCTTGTTCCAAGGTAGAAAAAAATCACTCTACCCTACTTTTCAGTCTAATTTAAATATGAGCAACACACAATTGACTTTTGCTATTGGGAGGATTTGCTTAAAATAAAGTGTTCTCCCAAAGGATTTCTTTGCCAAAACGTCCGTTTAATTTACTTCACGTAACCCTGCCAATGGCTCTAACAATGTTTTCATATGTTTATGCCATCAGGGTACCATCGGACCTCTAGTGGCGTTGTTGTTAAGGGACACAGCGTGCCATGGTTACTTTGCTTTTATATTCTGTATGTAAACATCTTGGCTAGTCAAAAAGCTACACTGAAAAAAAAAAACACAAACCACAGAAAAGAAAGAGGGTTAAAATGGGAAACTGATACAGAAAATGATGCTTCCCTTCCACTGCTATTCTTTCAGTGTCAGTAAGTTTTCTGACCTGTCCTGAAACTCTTCCCTATAGGTCTAGTGTTCTTGTCTATTTTGATTACTTAACTGTGACATCTTTATTATAATTTAGTTTCCAAGTTCAACGGCTACCCAAAGTTGCTTTCTCTGTGCTTTTGATTGCGCATACCTGTACCTGGGAAGTCACTGTTCCTACATAGTTCAGGGCATATTCACTCTGGGTTCTCTTTGTAGAGGTGCATTTTTAGAATTTATAATGCTTTATTATATAGTCAACCAAACCACAGAACTGAACACCTCACTGGTAGAGGGAAAAAAGTTAAGAGACTGCTTTCCTATGTAATAGCTCTAGTGTTCCCATAGATCATTTGAAAGCTGTGTTAGACTGTCTTATATCCAAAGGCCCAACTTCATTATATTCAACTATCATTATGTATATGCTTTATACTATTTATTATATTTCTACTATCTTATGCAAATAGTACTCTCACAACGCTCATCTTAGAACACAGAATTGCCTCTAGAATCCGTGAACAGTGGTTCCTGTTTCAGTGGAAACAAGCACAAAGTTGTCCAATTTCTCTCCCAGCCTCTATGTGGCCCAAAGCTCTCATCTGTGGATAAGGGAAGATGTGGAGTTACTCTGAGATGATATGCAAAATTCCTAGCTTCATTACTAACACACTCTACTTAAGAATACTTCATATGCACCTCTAGAAAAACACCACGGAGCATACTTCTCCTCTCCATTATCTCCCAACGAGGGCAGAACTAAGGATAACCTCTAACTACTGGCATCACATTAGCACAGCTACCTTCATTGGTATTATTATTATTATTATTTGTCTTTTTCCTTTTTATCGGTACCGGGGATCGAACTCATGACTGCCTGCTTGCAAGGCAGGCGCTTATGCCGCTGAGCTAAATCCCCAGCCCAATTGGTATTATTTTTTAACAAATGCATATGTGACTGCCTGCAAATTTTTATGAGAAATAAGGTATCAAAAAAATGAAGACCAACTCACAGTTAGATCTTCAAAATACGAATAGTCATCAACTCCTGAAGTCAGTGAAAATACAATCAACTGGATGCCTAAGTAAAAATGAAGCTTACATTCGGCTGAGTTTATTAATCCAGACAAGGCTTTAATGGTCACCATTTTGCAGTTTTCCTGGAGAAATCCAGCTCTAAAGGCACAGCACAGATCCTAAGTCACAGCGAGGGCGTAACACGTGTGCTAAAGGCCACCAAATACTGGTGTGTTCGAGATCAGTGAGAAGAAACCAAATGAATGAAACCCAAATATCACTGGCTTGGCCCCGTGCACTTTTGGCTGTGTCTCTGTAGTGGTGCCTCGAACAAAGGCTCTGTGTCTAGCGACTACCACAGTGACTGGCACAAATTAGTACATCATTTGTGGTACGCGTGAACAGAAGTTCCTTTTCACCTGAGCCACCCCAAAGCTTCCACGTATAACTCTGCGCATTTCATACCGATATGGGCACTATCGACCTCACTTTATTGATGGGGAAAGCATGGCTCAGAACACTAATCAAGTCCGTGCCATGGGATCTCTCACTAAAACACCACAAGACATACTCCTCGGTCACGCCCACACAAGCACCCCTTTCCCGCTTACAGGACGCCCCCACCACGCGCCCCAGTCACGCCGGGGACAGAGCACAGCATGGGCTTCCCGCCCCTTCCAGGCCCAACTCCACAACACCCATTCCCCGTCCCCAGTCCTCTGGGCGAGAAGGGGGCGCGGACCCTGGGCCCCGCCCAGTCGCTACCCCCAGTCCCTGACCTTTTTGTCCCAGATTTGCAGGGGCTTGCTGCCGATGCTGTACAGGATGGACAGGAAGCCGCTCTGGAAAGTGTTTTTGAACATCTCGCCTGCCGGCGGCCTTCTCCGCAGCCGCCCCGAAGCGACCCGCTCCGGAGTAGATACGAGCAGTGAGTAGCGAAGGAAAAGCAGAGGATGCCGAACTCCCAACCTGTAGTCACTGGCGGGTGGACTAAGACGCAGGTCGCTACGCTGCCAGGTTCAGGGCCACCTCAGAACCGAAACCACAGCAACTACAGCCGCCACTCATTTAGCCTTAAATGGAGGCGGAGAGCCGCCTGCTGCTTAAGATGGAGCCTCCACCCACCTGAGCCCGCCCTCCGGGAGCGCGGAGCCCAGTCCCAGCGCAGGGAACGCGACTTCCGGTTCCTTCCGCCCGTAAGCCCCGCCCTAGTCCCGCCCCTTCAGGAAAAGAACTGTGTTACCAAGGGACTATTTTCGTATCTGTGTCACAGATTTGTTCCAAAATAGCGGAAGGAGACAAAGGAATACGCATGTGTTGTTAGTAGTACGTCATGTTTTGGAAACAAAGCGGGGTGAAGCGCGAGATGCGGCGAGGTGACTGCGAGGGCCCCGCCCCCTGCAGGACGAGGCGGAGTTATACAGGCAAAAGAAAAGGACGAGGTTGAAAAAAGATCGCGAGTCTGAGGTTAGTCTGGGCGACTTAGTGATTTAGTAAATAGTTTTTTAAAAAATCTTGGAAATGTAGCGTAGTACAAAGGCCCTGGGGGTGACATCCCTAGTACCCAAAATGAAACAAAAACGATACTATGAGGAAAATACATCGCCTTGATTATACTGGTTACAAAACGTGAAGAGGAAAATAAAATCAGGAAATAAAATTAAAGCAAAGTTGAATTGCTTGAGTTGAGCCAATCAGTCAATACCTACGATATTTTAGGCAAGACTTAAAGTTATGATATTTCAAGTATGGAAGGAAATTCCAAATGTCCCATGAGTTACTGGCCATCAACCCAAATATTACACTGTGTGCCCAGGACCATGCAAGGTATGGTTGGCAGAAAAGGAATTTGCAATTAACATCATCATTTTAGCAGTTTTTATCATTATAGCAGTAAATTCAGCATTTACTGTGTATCAGACACCAGTATTACATGACTTAGCCCATATTAATTCATTCAGTTTTCACATCGACCTTGAATAACCCAGACAGAATTTCTAGACACAGAAAAATATTTGAGTATCAGTATATAAAACTTTTAATATAAAACTGATATTTTGGATAATTTCTGGAGACTTTATGTGAGGCCAGTGTACATTATACTTCACTTGTTATTGCTTCAAAATATCCTTAGTAAAAAAAAATTTTTAAGAAGACAGAAGGCCTAACATTAAGAAAGAGAGCGGCATAAGCGCCTGCCTTGCAAGCAGGCAGTGGTGAGTTCGATCCCTGGTACCGATAAAAACGAAAAAGACAACAACAACAAAAAAGAAATTGGGCATAGTGGTACAGTCTTGAAATTCCAGCATTTGGGAGTTTGAGGCAGGAGGATTGCTATGAGTTTGAGGCTAGCCTGGGTTAATAGTGAATTCAAGGGCAGCTGGAACTGCATAGCAAAATCTTGTCTCAAACAAAAAAGATGCTAAAAACCAAAAGAAGGCTGATAATGTAGCACATTTTGAAGGCCCTGGGTTCAACTGTTCAATCACCAATACTGAAACAGAGAGAGGGAGGGAGGGAGAAATGGTGATGACGATTAAAATAATGCATTTAACTTTCCTGTATGAAAGCTTTTATGAAATAAATTATTTTCTAGGAAAAAATTACCAATATTAGATCTACAAGTAAAAAATCAAATAACTAGTAATCATAGAAAAAAACCAAGGTAGTCATTGGTTCCCTTTTAGAAAGTTCTAATTATGTGTTTTTTAATTTTTCTGATATGTGTAATACAAGTTTATTTAGAATCTATAAAAAATATCACTACAATCATTCATAACCCAGCCAGAAATAACTGTATTATTTACTCCTGTCTTCCTGCCTTGCTTTCCCCAGCTATCCCTTTGAGTTAATCCATTCTCCTCCCTCATCTAGTCATGTAGAAAGATATACAAACAAAAAAAAAAAAAAAAAAGAAAGAAAGGTCTTCAGACAACCACAGGAGTTTTGTTTGTTTGAAGACAATACTGCACATTGTTCAGCAGTATAGTTTTTTAAACCCCTCCACTGGGACCCTTGCTTGTACCTGCACAGACCTGCCAGCCATGCATCCCTGTTTGGTCTGTCTTCTCCTCCGCTAATGGAAGTCCTTCACGTCCCCTCGAGGACTGTGTGAGAATTTCTTCTGCAGAATTTGTAGGTCCTACCAGGCATCTGTGTCTCATATGACTTAAATGGCCATTTTCACTCCCATTCACAACTGCAGGGCCTCTGTGGTCACAGCCCCTGCCAACACTCAACAGTATTCTACTTTCTCAACTTTGCCAGCCTGATACATAGGACATGATGGCTTGTCCTGTTGTGTTTCTGACTACTGTGCTGACTCCTCTCCATCTGCACTGAAGTTTATTTTTAAATTGGCCGTGTCTTTTTCCCAAGTTTCTGGTGAGATTCTCTATCACCTTGTTGATTTCCAAAAGTAAATAGTATCTCTAGGTATTAATCCTTTATTGGTTTTCAATAATGTAAGCATCTTTTCCCAATCTATCACTTGTCCCTTTTATCCATGATGTCCTTTGAATAGGATTCTCATGTTGATTTTAAGCAAGTTGACTTTGTTGCCTTATGATTTGTGCCTAGAGGTTTACAGACATTATTAGCCATTCCTAGGTAACCCCTATACTTTTATTAACTATGTGGGTTTATTATATATATGGATTATAGGTAGATATTATATGTAAATCCATGTATATTATAAATATATATATGATAAATCCACATAGTGGATATTGTGTATAGTACTTGAACTGAGTCTTGCACATGCTAGGTAAGTGCTGTGCCACTAAGCCAACTTCCTAGGACTTTAGGATAGGGTCTTGCTACATTGCCAAGTTGGACTTGAACTTGCAGTGTTCCTGCCTCAGCCTCCTGAATACTAGGACTATAGGAATGCACCACCATGCCTAGCTCAGAGTTACTATGGAAATTATTATTTTTCTTTAAAGTAAGCCAGTTATATCAAAGGCATAATCTTTTTTTAGTGATATATGTATATTTCTCTATATATTTATTCCATACTCACACACAGGTATGTATGTGTATATATACAAATCTTCCTGAGCTCTGTCTTCTAGACCACTTAAAGTTCTTATATCAGTTCTTATATCACTTAAAAGTTCTTATATCAGTACAACCCAGATTTTCACTAGTATGGCTTTGTAGTATATTTTAATATCTGACAAGGTTATCCCATCCTTTTCTCCAAAGGCTAATTTGGGACTGGGGATAGAGCTCAGTGGCATAGGCACCTGCCTGAAAAGCGCAAGGTCCTAAGTTCGATTCCTAATACCAAAATAAATAAATGTGCAGGGGGCAGATTTGAGGGGGCATTATTTCCTCCCTAATTTGGCAAATATTCATGGACCTCTACTTTTCATTTAGATTTTACAGTAAACTCACTGAGTTTCTCTCAAAAATGCCTAATTTCCACTGGAATTTCATTGTACTTATAAATGTTTATACTATTGTCATCCCTTCAAACATATGTAACATCTCCACTTTAAAAAATCGTCACCTACATCTTTATTAATGTTTTCAAATATTCTTCATGGGGGTCTTATGTATTCTCGGTTAAATGCTTTTCAGTTGGGCACATAGTCCACATCTAATCTTAGGACTCTGGGAGGCTGAAGCAAGTAGGATCTCAAATTTAAAGTCAGACTGGGGGGGCTGGGGATTTAGCTCAGCGGCATAAGTGCCTGCCTTGCAAGCAGGCAGTTGTGAGTTTGATCCCCGGTAGCGATAAAAAGGAAAAAGACAAAAAAAAAAAAAAAGTCAGTCTGGGAGAGACCCTGTCTCAATCAATGAATTTTTTTTAAAGGGCTAGAGATACACTCCAACAATAGAGCATACCTGCTGGGTATGGTGGTGCATGCTTGTAATCCTAGTACTTGGGAGGCTGAGGCAGCAGGATCTCTGTTAGAGACCAACCTGGGCTACAAAGTGAGTTCAGGGCCAGCCTGAACTGTATAGTGAGACCCTGTCTCAAAAAGATTAAAAAAACAAAAAACATACTTGGGCTGGGGCTGGAGATTTAGCTCAACGGCATAAGTGCCAGCCTCAAAAGCAGGCAGTCATGAGTTTGATCCCTGGTACCGATAAAAACGAAAAAGCCAATAAATAAATAAATAAATAAATAAATAACATACTTGGGCTCTATCCCCAGTACTAAAAAAAAGATTATTAATCTCATTTGTTGGATTTTACATGTAGATGATCATATCATCTGCATACAACAAAAGCTTTACCTGTTTTTTTTCCAAATGCTTATACTCTTATTTGCACCGTGGAGTTCCATCTACAAATATCCAGGTATCTACTATCTACTCAATGGCTCCCTGGTGAAGTCTTTTTAGGAATGTGTGTGTGTGTGTGTGTGTGTGTGTGTGTGTGTGTGAGATAGGGCCTAGAACTCGTGATCTTCCTGATCTTCCTGAGCCTCCATTTTGAGCACTTTTATGCTAACATCTCCAAAACAGAACTTTCCATGTCACTCCTTCACCATACCCTTGCCAAATCTTCCCAGGACCTGCCTGTTGCAGTAAATGCCAACCTGACTCCTGCCTATATCAAGAATGAGCCAGCCTGAGCTTCTTTCTTCTTACAGCCCACATCAGTGAATCCTGTAGCTCTGCCTTCAAGTACCAGGTTTGTTCCTGTGGCTTGATTTTGGCTTCCTCCAGGTACCAGCGGTGACTGCTTCTGTGCGTGGTCCCAGGCCTTAGTACAGTGCCCGCCATCACAGTAGGCACTGATGAATGAAGGAGTGAATGAGTGGATGGCTAAATGGTCATCACAGACATTTATGTTCCTTTCAGAGGAAATGGTGGGTCAAATTAGCCTTGCAGATGTATACATAAACACTGTTTCCCTGTATATTGCATTTCCTTCATCAACACAAAGGTGTATAGAACAAAAATCCACAAGAAACCTTGCTAGTAAGTGGCTGCCATCCATGTATAGTCACATGGAAAAAGATAGAAAAGAGACTACAGTGCAGGCAATGAATGCGGAAACTAAGTCGATGAAAATCAGACAACTAAAGCTACGTAAGCTGGGCATGGTGATGCATATGTATAATTCCAGCATTTGGGAGGCAGAGGCAGGAGGATCGCTGTGAGTTCAAAGCTAGCCTGCACTACATTAGTGAGATCCTCCTCAAAAAAAAGCTACACAAGATGTAATGTGCAAGACATGGGTAGTCCTGGAAATCTCTTTTTCACTAGTATGGCTTTGTAGTTATTTTAATATCTGACAGGGTTATATCATCCTTTTTTCCAAAGGCTAATTTGGGACTGGGGATAGAGCTTAGCGGCATCAGCGCTGTATCTCATTCCTGTGAGGAAGGGCTTCATTTAACTTGCCATTTGGGGTAGAAGATCACGAAAGTGGTACCCAATTTGTGTCTAGTCCTGAGCTGAGGTAGTGCTGTTGCCTTGGTGTGATGTCAGAACACAGAGATTAAACCAGGTATCTATTATCAAACCCAGGTTGGCAATCTGTGCCAAACTGAGAAATTGTTCTTCCTCTCTTCCTCCTTCCCTTTCTTTTTACTCTTTCTCTTTTTTTTCTTCTTTTCCTGAGACAACTGTGTAACTCAGGCAGGCCTTAAACTCATGGCAGTCCTCCTGTCTCACAGCCTGTGGAGTGCTGGGGGTATAGGCATGTGCCACTGTGCCCAGTGAGAAATGTTTCTGAATATACTATTGAGATGTGTGAAATATTTAAGATGACATCATGAGTTACAGGATATGATGCTTTGAAGTTAATTTAAATGTTTAAAGGAATTTGATATAAGATTTTAATTTCACAATGTCTATAGAGAAAATTTGTAAACAATGAATACTTAAAATATTTTCATTTATTAAATTTATGAGCTTTAACTGAGGTTTTTTTCTTAGTATTTGAATGCTTAGGAAGATTCCGTCACATTTTAACTTTTTCATATTTACTCTGGAAATGTCTGTGTAGATAAAATGTTAAATATGTGACTGAGTTTGAAATGTCTAAAGTAACTAGATTAGGTGTACAAGCAACTTATACTGTTTAACCCATTCAGTTTTGGGCTAATTGGCCATGGGTCAAAGGTTAAGCAAAACTGTTTTTATTTCTGTATAAGATCAACTAGTGTGTTGCTATAGAAATAAGATTTATAGCTGGACATAGTGGCACATGCCTGCAATCCCAGCACTGGGACAGGAGGATCACTATGAATTCGAAACCAGATGGCAACTTAGCAAAATCCAGTTTCAAAAAAACAATAAATTTTAAAAATCAAGATTTATAAATTCATCTTAAAGACACAAATTAGAATTTTTCATGTATATCTTTAATAAAACTAAGACATTATTTAGAATATCAGCAAGCATAAGCGCCCTTTTCAGTGGACAGACGCCCTGGTCAAATGCTAACCCCCAGGGACAGCAACTGTTCATCAGTTTGACCCTATAAACTCTCTGCCAGCACCTCAGGAAGCTGACACACATGGAAGACAGGGCTTGTCCTCCACCTGCTGAGGGAGAGCGGGAGCACGGCAGGGAGGTGGAGGGTTGCCTTTCAGGACAGAAGAGCGCCCTCAACACCTGGTGCCTTCGGCTGGCAGAAGAAGGACCCAGAACCAGTCCCACAGTTCCATCTGAGGCAGACCATGGGCTCTGTCTATAGAAGATGCTGTATAGTGGGCAGCTGTACTTCCTGCTAATCTGTCTGAAGTCCAAAGGAGCTCCACTGAGTCCCTGCCCGTTACTGTTATTTTTAATTTTTAGATACATACTACGTTTGGTACAGGGTTTTGACAAAGGCACAAGTCATATTACTATCCCTCCATTTAGGCCAGAACAGTTGCTGCACCCCCAGAAGGGACTCATGCTGACCTTGTGGCCATCCTCGAGCCCAGGCACTCATGGGTCTGCTCTTCACTCCTGGGTCTGCCTTTCCTGGGATGTCACAGAAACCCATGGATCAATGCAAAGCATTTTGCACCTGGCTTTGAGGCTTGGCACAGTGCATGTGAGAGCACATTGTTTCAACACGCTGAAGAATGATATTCTGAAGAGGCTGCTCGTCTACCTCACCACCTGGCCCCTCTCGGGGTAAAGTGTTTGCTGGCCCTCTGGGGGCTTCCTCTTGAAGGCTTTCCCACAGCATTTCAAACACATTAAAATGTAACCATTTTTCATATTTAATTTCTTCCTGTAATTTTTCTGAATATTTAGAATTTGCCTCTGAAATTGTTTGCTTTTATGGTAGGCTGATTCTTCACTAATTATTGTGAGGAAAAACAACTTTTAAAAGCAAATATTGACCTTAGAACTAATGAAGTTCACAGTATTGTACATTTAAGATATTTAATTCCATTAAGCTTTATTTTCAATGTCATTAGACCCATCACATTTTATCTTCAGGTCTCAAACATTTCTATGGACCTTTGGGAAGTGCCCCAAATGCCCAACAGAGCCCTGCAAGAATCCCATGACTGATGTCCTCACAGTTCCAATTTGCACTGCTATGGAGAGGGATGGAAGACTTCTTTGCTACAGAAACAAGATTCTCAGCATCGTAACAATGCTCTTTGTTTAAAAAAAAAGCAGCCATGTGCCATATAAACTTTTAAAGATTTTATCACACATATACCCAGTCCAAAAATGTATGTGTAGTTATTAATTACAGCACTGCTAAAAAAAAGAAAAAGAACAAACCCAAAGTCTATCAAGAAAGAACTGCTTCAACTGTGGTACATCACACAGTGGAATACCATGCCGCCACGAAAAAGGGTGAGGTAGATCCATACAATATATGCTAACACAGTAAAATTTTCACAATTAAATGAAAACATAAGTTTTAGAAAAGAACGTATAGTCTGGTATTTCCATTACCATGAAGACTATTGTAATTTTAAAAGATTAGTAAATGCTTAACAACAACAACAACAAGAAAAAAAAAAAAAAAAAAAAAAAGGATATACACCAAATTTTAACAATGGTTACTTCCCAAGGGAGAAACCTTTCTGGAGTTGTGTATATGTAAGTGGTGGTGGTGGGGAGACTTCCCTTATTAGCATCTTTGTAACATTTGCTTTTTTTTTTAATCACAAGGATGTATTACTAGCTGGGTGTGGTAGCATATGCTTATAGTCACAGCTCTCTGAAGGCAGAGGCATGAGGACTGCAAGTTTCAGTTCAGCCTGGGTAATTTTGTGACACCCTGTCTCAAAAAAAAAAAAATTTTTTTTTTAAAGAGCTGGGAATGTAACTTGGTGCAAAGGCCCTGTATTCAACCCTTAGTACAACAAAAAGCAGGGAGCAGCTTTGGTCATCAGGAAAATGCAACAAATAATAAAACACAAACAGGCTGTAGATGAACTAGATCATTCCTGTATTGGGAGGCTCACTTCCCCTTCTCTCAAAGTCAATATAACCTAAGCAATTCTCTATCTGCAACTACTCTTCAGCCCAATCATAATCATTCACAAAATACAAGAGTATTTGCTACATTTCAGAGGTTTCTAAAAAAAGCTTCCACACTGGAACATTAAGGAGAGCCATGGACAAAAAGCAGGAGGGAAAACTGAGGATGAAGCCAGCATTCCAATTTCTCCAGGACATCGAGAATTCCCAGGCCTGTCCTCTGCAAGTCTGTTCAGATACCTTTGGAGAGGACTTTAACAGGTCCACGCAGAGGTAACACATTGATGCTGTGTAGATAAACACGCACATACTAACGAGGTATTTTGATGCCATACCAGTGATCTGGAAGACCAAGAGAAATTTTTAAGGCCTTGAGTCAAAAAGAGCATCACAAAAGACACCTTGAGAAAGCTAGGTCAGTGGTGAGCCAGAAAAGTACTAAGTCTATCTGCTCAGGCCACTGGCCTGACAAGTCTGCTGGTGGCCACAGCACGCAGTTTTAGGCTCCCACACCTAAGAAACTACTTGGATCCAACAATAACTGCTCCAAAGGTCACTAGGATGCCATGGTGGCCCTGAAAGGGTCCTCTTTGCTTTCCCTCATAATTACTTCAAAACTGAGTGTCCGTGCTTCAGTTCAGTGTTCAGAACAAGGAGCAGAGAGAGGAGTGCTGTATAAGGCAGGTGGTCTTCGTGGATACCAGGCTGGAGCCCTAAGCAGCCACCAGGACCTCTGGATCTGCCCACACCGCTGCTCTGTACAGGCGGTGGAAGACATACGCCAGTGGCCTGATCAGGTAACCAACAGGTGGTGGCTGCCAGTTTCACTTCCCCTGGCCAGCTTTTCTGGGGGGTGAGGACTGAGGGAGCTGGTGAAGCCTCATTTGTAAGGCTGGTTTGCTTCCAACAAATGTAAGTGTGCTTCTGTTGCAGTCACTTTTCCTTCCAGTTCTTTAGAGCATCAGAATGTGATTGGCAGCAGCCCTTGGACCCCTGAACCCTTCCCTGTCACCAGCTGGCAGACTCCAAGGAGCTCCAGGCCAGTTCTCAGAAGTGGATGTTGGGGAGAAGCATTAGGAGATGGAATGAAATGTTGTGACATGAGCAAAGGGACAGCACAGAAAAGGGATCTTTCCTGAGCTTTATTAGAGGTGGTGTTTATCCACCGCAACTGCTTGGCCACCCACCTGATTTGGAAGAGGAGCTAATGGTGGACAAGTGACTAAGGCAAGGCCTATCTTTCCCAGCCACTGAGTACTTGGACTCTACCTCTGCACATCTTATCTCTGCAGAGCTCCTTCAAACTGGCCCTCTGTACCTGCTTTCTCCTGGTTAGAACCTCGCACAAATGCGCTTCTGGGTCACTCAGTCCTCTGTGGCCACAGGTCTCACTTAATGTTCCCTTCCATACTGAAAACTCTCCATACAATTCTTTTAAAACCTTTTATTCAATAATATATACTTTTAAAATAATAATATGTAACTGCCCGTCATGCTATAGATCGCGCCCTTTCCCCCACTGAAGTCTGGTCAGCTAGTCAACGAGGTTTGCTGGAAAAACAAGCAGCCACAGATGAGTCAAGGGGCGCAGGAGCAACAGTAACCAACAACCATTTGCATACCCTTCACATTTCCCATGCTTTCTGGGTCAGGAGGAAGTCAACAGGAAGCCAAAGGCATATGAACCTTTTACATTCGGAAGTGAGGTTTGATACACGGTGGTGGGCTGCCCTTCAGTTGGTCTAGTTCGTGCTTGCCAAACCTGCCACCGTTTTGTGTCTGCTCACGGAACGTGATCTCTCTACACACGTTAAGACGTTTGATTTGGTTCTTGTTCTGCTTATGGAAAAGTGGGAGGAACCGCAACAGACCTGGGGAGAGACGGGAGGAGGGGAAAGACGGCATTAATCAACCTGAGCCAGAGGGAGGGGCAGGCCTCTGCCTGAGTGGGGCTTCCTTCTCTTGAAGAGAGCCAGGACTAGAATGCCAGCTTGCCTTTCCCATGCCACTCTGGGAACACCTGGTAAGGACTGCCATATGACGTCTGGTTTGAAAGACGTTCTCCCTGCTCTCTGACCACAACCAAGGTAACCTGTAATCCAGCCAGGATGCTCAGGATAGCGTTAATGACCCTGTCCCTTGGATCCAGGATGTTGATGGACAGCCTTGAAGCCTTGGGATACTTCTGTATGAGCCAAGTCACAGGCTCAGCAGTCCAATTCTGGATCCCCTTCACACCTGACCAGATGTAGAGGGGATCTGGAGTCTAAAAACAGATGACTTCGTATTTATTCAGCAAAAAAGCCAAGTCTTACTTGAGCAACAAAAAAGCTTAAATGTATTTAACTCTTCACTGGAAACAGCTGTCTGTAAGTGCGCATGGTTGAAAAACCTCATCCTCCTTCTGTGGTCAGCATAGGAAAGTAAGGGGTGCAATGCCAGACCAAAGTGCTACAAACATCCTCTGGGACACTTATCACAATACTGAAAGCACTTGGCACGTGGGAAGCTGCCACAGTCATTTCATAAAAATTGTCTTTGGGTACAGGAAGAATTCCGTTGCTTAGTACTTGAGAAAGATTGCATATGCATGTTAAAAAATTACCATATTTGCCTCTAAGAATTTCATCTGATTTCCAAGGGCCCAATTCTACAGTGACAGATGTGAGAAACAAAAGAGCCACATCACTGAAAACACCATCTGCCAAACAACAGCATGTGCCTATGGTTCACAAGGAGTAGCAGTGGGGAGAAGTCTTCACAAAGGCCAAGTGCTGGGTTACAAGGCTGAAGTCATACAACAAAGCACATCAACCCCAAGAAGCAGGCGTTTGAGTGGTACAATGCATAAGAAAGAACCATGCCCCCACAACTCTTCATATCCCACCTGTACTAAAGTCTTCACACCAAGGTGATGACCTACAACCGCCACACACATCTTTGCAGTTCAGTTTATCCCTCTGCCCTTCCCCAAAGAGACAGAAAATACAGGTTAAGGTCCTCATAGCAATGGTTCATCTCTCACTTAGGAAGGCTAGGTATTATCAACATTTTTATTTAGGAAAACACAATTTAACATAGCAATATTCTTCCCTCTAAGGGCAGCAGCAGATGAATCATGTATCAGTCATTCATGATATACAGAGGTGGCCAACTGTGTCTGAAACAGTCACTTGTAAAGGATCATAACGCAAGCAGTGTTGCTTTTCTGCAAATAGAAGGCTCCAGGTTTCTTGACGATTATACAAGCTTTCCGCTGGATGTCAAGATTTCTGTCCCAAACTCAGTCATCATTTACACCAAAAAGAGCCAGCAAGTGAAAAACGGTTAATTTATTGATTCAAAGTTTTTTTTTTTTTTTTAAACAATCCTCAATACATGCAGTTCAGGGTTAAGTATCACATTTGTAGCACATTGTTTGCGTCTTGACACAAAAGAATGTATCATCTGTATAATCCCATCACATCTTTTTTCCCCCCAGCCTCTATAATACCTGTTTGGGGTGTTTTATTAACATTCAAAAGCATGTTGTTACTGGTTTCCTTGCCACCTCCCCTCCCAACTACCCCACCCTGGGGTTAGTTTTTAAAGGCAGGACATTCAGTTTCAATTTATTAAGTTCACTGACAAACTAGGGCTTACAGTGTGATGAGGACCCTGCTTTTGCTTTCAGAGGGTGTTACCTAAAGTTTGGCTGTTACTCATCAGCTGTTATCCACTCACTTATCTGCAGGGGGTAAGTCTGTTTTCTGTGGATGCTCACGCAGCAACACAGGTTTCTAAACAAACCTTTAAATCTGAACTGGCATTAAAGGAAACTGTTAACTAGGCTCTTTTAGATTTATTTCAATGCATATATAAAAATTCTTCCAAGTTTGTCTCCCAAAGCAGCTCTGCTTCCATTCACATCTATGCAGCACCTGGGAGAACCTAAGCCATTTCCCTGAGTAGGTACAGACTGTGAGACACTCAGCACCAGTTCTCTCTGGGACTCAGCACCTGACTTGAGAGCACCACCTTTCAAAGGGTCATGGGATCCAAGCCAGGGGGTAGTGTCCTCCCCCCAGAGCTCACTCTAGAACAAGAACTTTGTGTCTGTTCATTTCATCCTCTCAAGAAAACCATTCCTCAAGATCTACCTTTAGGGCATTTTCCTTTTTTACTTGCTCCTCCCCCAGTCACTCTCTCCAAGGTCCCAGGATCCCGAGCTCTTCTGTCTCCTATGGTCAGTCAGATGAGAGAGTACCTTCCTCTTTGCAATGGATGACCTGAACTTTAAGAACTTTAAGCCTGGAGCAGTGATGTGCTACAGACCATCTCAGTGCCTCACAAATCTGGATTGCACAGGCACTTCACTAATTGGTACAAAGCCCCAGGAACACCTGCTCCACACTATGCACTTACAGGCTTCTTAAACCCAGCTGCCCACAGGGCTAGGATGGTAACAAGATCAGCTGATAGAAGCCCGAAGAAAGTGGGCTGCCATCATGGCTGGAAGGGAATGTCACTTAGCACTTCATTAGCACCACTCTCACCATGGGATTTCTCAGCTGAGGCAACCTTACAGTTAAGCACACTCATGGCCACCAAGGATGACACATAGATCTGGAAGCTTCTTGGAAGCACAGGAAGCTTCTGTTCTCACCCATCCAGGTCTATGTTCCTGAACACAGGCAGTACCTGAGATGACAGTGTAACACTACCCTGTTCCCCATGTTTTTTGCTTTTCTTTAGGAAATAATGAAGTCCTTGTCATAGGCACTTTTAACCTGTTATAAGGTATGAAGCAAACAAATGCAAATTACTGAGATGAGTTTAAGAGTGAATATGCTAACTGAAAAGGATACTGGGGTAGGTCAATTTACCTTATGTTATTCTAAATATAAAACTAGACTTCCATTCCAACATACACGCACATACATGCACATAGGCGCGTGTGTGCGCACATACACACACACCCTTTAGGAACTTCCTAAGACCGTCTCCTAACTCAGGGAAACACACTAACATTTCAGGGGAGAAGGCTCCATTCAGACACATGGATTAGAGACAGGTGAAAGAAAAGGTCTGAACTAGATTCACTTCAGTTTGGGAAACGGCCTAGGTGTCAAGTCCAGATCCAGAGGGAATAAGCATTTTAAACTCAAGTTTAAGGCATGAAGAGAGGTAAAAGTATAGGTGCCATGAAAGTAAACTGGCTGCTTAAGAAGGAAGGACTGCGTTGTGTCATAGATGCAGCTACAGTCCTAAGGGCAGGAAGCCAGCTGAGAAGGCCAAAGAAGAGGGGTGGGGGCTCACTGCTTCACTTTTCTAAATGCTTTTATTGCCGCTGGGGAACCCAAGGGAAAGAAGCAGGGTTACTGCTCAACCAATACCCTCCAGTAGGTCAGACAGGCACCAAAAAAGAAAGGAAAAAAAAAAAAAGAAGAAGAAGAAAGAAAAAAAAGAAAAGGCACAAAACAAAAGACAGAGGCAAGAGTGGGCTTGGAGTGTGGGGAGCAACAAACACAGTGGCACATCTCTCTGATAATCAATACTTCAGGCTGCTTACTCTAAGGGCCTTTTGAAGGCCTGTGATAATTCAAAACACTGAGTTTTGCTGCCTGACATAATGATATAGGTTCAGCTAAGAATTCACATCTTTTTAATTTTCAGGTAGAACAAAGATACAGAATGTGCAATGCAGGTAGGCAGTATTAGTATGAGAACCTTAACTGAATGTATTTCCTGGCTTTAGGAGCTAAATTTATAAATTTGGCTTTACAAGGAGAAGAGTTTCATTTGCATTTTAAGTTCCCACCGACCAAACAACAAAAATAGAATCTACATTTAAAGATAGGACCTGCTACCAATATCAATATGATTTTATTGGAATATGGAATGTAAACATATGCCTCAAACAAACACTCTAATCTTTAAAAAAAATGTATGGCATTATTAAATAGTTATAAAGAAATACTAAGTGTGATATGGTGGTTGACTTCTCTAGCTCTAGCCCAGGCATGTTAGGTCCCCAGAGCTTGTAGCAATAGCTCTGTAGCTGGGGAGATGGGGGACTAATTTAGGAAAATCATATTGTTGACAAGTCCCCAGAATGAAATCAGCCCAATACTCTCTCTCTTTTAAAATAAAACCTAGCTTTCTTTGCTAATGTCAAGATTAGCACAGTAGATCCAAAACTTAACACCTGCTCCAGGAGGTCCACTTTTATCCCCAGTCCCTGCATATTTCTTTCTTCTCAGTTGCTAGAGTTACAGGAATAACCTTGCTCATACAATATCAGTGCCTGCATTTGAGAAAACTTATCTTTCCCTTGTTACATATCATGTATCAGCACTCAAAATATGTATTACCCTGATTATGGTTGGAAACTGTCATGGGTGATACTTTCCCCCCAAATGAATCTTTCCTAAATAAATCCTAATAGGATGTTTTTTCCCTCTTCAACCTGCCTGAAAACTGACTTGCCAGCTTTAGTTATGGTTGTGAACAAAAAAGTCAGTAGGTGCACACACAGGGATGTGCTGGGAATGCTGAGGTTTTCCTTAAAAGACTGCTCCTCCCAAAAAAAGCCTAAATTAAAAAAAAAAAAAAAAAGATTCTGTAGTTAGGCAAATCAACAGAGGTTACAGTGAGCTCCAAGTAATGCATACAGCAGGGGCTTTCTGATGAGACTGGTGGATCTGTTCACGGCATCTCACGATTTCAAGTGATGTCTCCTGACAGCAAAGGAGACTGAAAGTGGCTGCAGTTTGCTTCCAAATGAAAACATTTAGAGGGAAACTGCAGGGGTGAGGTACATTTCCTGGAGAGCTCATGTCATAAAAAAATACATAGAACATGAATTTGTAAAAGAGCTTAAAGAAAAATACTGTCACTGTTTTAATATCTTTTTCATAAATGAGGCTGGTGTGTCAGTATCGACTGCTGACGTTTTCTAAAACTTGAGCCTGAATTCTCATCAAAGGAAACCAGACCACAATGGAATAGATAGGAAGTCAGATATTCAGAGCTTGTTGACCGAATGGGTTAATTCAACAGTGGTGTCCTGTTAAATGAGGAAAAATGTACAACAACTCCGAGTTTCTCATCTCCCATGCATTCCAAAGGGAGAGTCTCCTCAGATCCTGAACTATATGCATCATCTCACTGCACAACTGCAGCTCCCTGGAGACTAGTACTGGGGAGTTTCCTTTGACACACTTTTAGGTCTTTACTCTTCATTGCCTTAGAAGGAATGATTAGAATTTCTTTTTATCACACTGTGGTTTCCTTCAAAATTTGTGTTTGGTGGTTGGTTTTATTGGCAAGCATCAATGCCGCATTACCCGTCGCTTTCCAGTCTTCATCGTGCTGCTGTGAGACCACTGGAAAGTACAGCATTCTCTGCACAAGGCTGGGACTGCTCCTTCACCACGGGGTCTGTAAGAAAGCACAATGAGAGTTGCCGTGTCAGAGCTGTGGGTACAAAACACCAAGACAAAGCTACCCTGCCACAGAGAGATGGAGACCCCGGACTCGGCAAGTCAGTGTCAAGAGGGCAACAGAGGAGAACAGAAAACACAGAACTATAAAAACTAGACACTGGAGAAAGACCAAAGGAATTGTTCTTGTAGTCAACTTTTCTTCCTCAGAGCAGACTCAACTGTTGAAAGGCACAGAAACCTCAACTGCCCAATACTTAAAATTCCCACTAATTTTGTTATTTTGACTATTAGCATCATTTCCAATTCCTAATTTCTTTCAAGTATGTGCAACAATAAGCACTTCAGAGGAAAACAGAATAAAAGTCAAGAGAAATAATCTACTTTATTTTATTTTATATTTTTTGGTACTGGGGATCGAACTCATAACCTTGCACTTGCCAGGCAAGTGCTTGTGCCACTAAGCTATGTTCCCAGCCCCCAATTTTAAACAATAGTAGTTTAAAGTTTTTAAATTGACATGTGCTATATATTCAGAAAAGTAGTCAGACCACTAATTATATACAATAAACATCAGTATTCTTGAGCTGATTTGCCCTAAAGGACAAGAAAAGCTTTCTGTGTAATAAAGTAGAAAGAGGATGTCTGAGTTTCACTTGTCCAGGGTCCAAAAGGAAAGGCAAGATTTTTAATTTGCTGTCTCTTCATGTTGTAGCCCTAGATCCAAAACAAAGCAATGGCAAGACTCACAACTCCAGAGGGCAGTGGCCGGGTGGGGGATGGATGGTGGTGGTGAGGGGTGAGGGAGGGAGGGAGGGGCTGGAAAAAGGAGGGGGAATGAAAGCTCAAACAGGAGGCAGGAGAGTGATTAAGAGAGTGGAAAGAGGCAAGTGACTGTCACTTAACCCCCCTATTCTCCAGCTTTCTCCCTGACTGGAATAAATTCTCTCACATAGCAGGAAAGTATATTTGAAACACTTATTTTTTGCTGGGAAGAACTACATGTACACAGAATCACAACCAAGCAAGTACCCAGACTAAATGCACATACATACTTCTGAGATGTAATAAGTGGTCCAGCTGAATCCTGCTAAGGTCTTTCCTGTTACCTGCTCTCAAATGCCTCCTTCTTACTATCTTCTTTAGAAATATACTATGATTATATTACTAATTTTGGCCAATTAGCCTTTTTTTTTTTGACAAGAGAAATAATCTTGGACTGTGTTTCTACATAAACAGTTTTTTCCTATATGTACTAGAAATTGAACTCATGACCTCACACCTGCCAGAAAGGCACTATGCCACTGAGCTATATCCCTAGCTCTCCAGTGAATACATACATTTGAAAAGACAATTTAAATTCTATTATCTATGGGCTGGGGTGACAGGAGTAGTCAAACAGATTGAATCTGAGGGAGCTACACTTGGTGAACAAACAAACACCTTTGGGGATCAAGAAACTGACTTGTGCTGGGTGCTGTGGTACACACCTGTCATCCCAATTATTCCAGAGGCTACAGTAGGAGGATTATGAGTTTGAGGCCTGCTTGGGCAACTTACAGAGACCTTTTCTCAAAATTGAAATAATAAATGAAAAGACCTGAGGATGTAGCTCAGGAGTAGAATGCTTCTGGGCTTCTCAATAATGAGAAAAAAGAAAAAGCAAGTGATCTTCAATGTTGTCTCAATGCTTTAGAATGAATGTAGTCAAATCCAGAAATGATTCCTGCCAAATATCTCGAATCTTGACTGGCTTCAAAAAAGATGCATGATTTCCTCTCCTTTAATACACTCCTTGAAAACAACTCTGGAGACTCACAGAAGTATGGGTGTTCCATGGCCTCTTTGGCAGTCAATCTCTGTTGATGGTCATATCGCAGAAGTTTGTCCAGAAGATCGAGGGCCTCAGGGCTGACAAGGTGTCTGTTCTCACTATGGATGAAGTTTTCCCAGCGTTTCCTTGAATGCCTGAGAAGAAAAGTAAAGCATTAATATTCTGAGACTAAATCCAATTAGGGCTGATGTCAACACAATCTTAAATACTGCACTGATTATAAGCTTAGGAAGTATCACTCTTGTTGGTATCCACCCTACTCCACAGTTACAGTGTTCTGAGAAAAAAAAACTGTACTCTTGAACTTAATAAGCAGAATTAATTAAAACATGTATTGGACCTAGAATTTGTGGTACCTTTTTGGACTATTTTTTAATGCCTCAAGCTTTCTATCTATTCTGCGTGAGGCATGGAGGTGACTGAGTAATTTCTGTTGGTCAGCAGATACATTTGGAGGGCTGACCTCAGAAACATGGTGGTTTCATAAAAAAAATTTGAAAATTGTCAACCAAGTATTAACTTTTAACTTAACTGAACGTGTGCCTGAAAATTCAATATACCTTAATACTTGTTATCATACAGAAGATCCACTGCAGAAAATAAGAAACTATTAATTTTGTATTCAAAGTACTATAGTTTTCCCAAGATTTGCCATTAGAAGTACATGCTATATCAAAACTTTTTCTTATAACACTTGATTTTGTTTTCCATTCTCTATTGATAAAACAGGAATTATATCAGACAGAAGTCAAATGACTAGAAGACACATGTAAATAATATCTAAATCTCTCTCAATAATTTAAAGAAAATCACATAGAAAAAAATGGGTACTTCACTTTGGTTCAACTAAAAAGAAACAAGAAAGTGATTTTGGTGAACCTTCATGATTCCCAAATGGGGTAAAGTAAAGCCTCTTTCTCTCTTACTTACTGTCCCAAGATATCGTTGAAGTGTGGATCTAGGTCTATGTGATATTTCTTCAGATAGCCATATAGCTCATCTGTACCCAGAACCTTGGCAATGCGAACAAGCTGAAACACAAAACAAACTGACCAAATTACTGAGCATAGAAGTCATTGTGAGCCTGAGGGCACTGGACCAGGGAATCAGAAGACGCCACACTACTCAAGTCTCCAGGGACAAGATAGAGATCCAAATCTAGGATGGGGGGCACTGAGGTTCACATAAATGTAAAATTTCAAATTGCCTTTAATGAGGTAGGACAATAATCTCCTAGAAGCTAACAATTATGATCACAATCTAATGATCAGAATCTATTTTATTAAGTGAAGAAAAGCTGAAATTCCATACAGAGGCACTCTGGAAGTTGGGCATACATAATGTTAACTATTTCTGTTTCTTTTGGGACCTCATGACCACAGACAAAATTCTGCAAAAATTTTTTCCTTAAAGAAAAGCTTATGTGCAGACAATGAGTGACATGTAATGGCTCAAGGACAGTATGATTTTCTAAACATGCTCTTTTCTTGGCAATCATCTCCAAGTAAGTAAGAAAGAGTAAGATAGTATGTGCTCACCTGGTCATAGTTGTCCTGCCCATGGAAAAAGGGTTCCTTTCGAAAGATCATACTTGCTAACATACAGCCCAAACTCCACATGTCCAAGCTGTAATCATACATCTGGAGAGACAAGGGAAGTCAGTCAAGGGTTTTCTTTTTTGTGGTGCCTGGTATGAAACCTAGGGTCTGGCAGATGCAAGCCAAGAAAGTATGACTGAGCTCTAGTCCCAGCCCAGAAACCTACTCCCCCCCCCCCCAAATTTTTAGCCTTCATTTGACTTCTGCTGATATTTTAGAATTAAAAGCCACCCTTCCATCAAAACAAAATAGCTGAGAAAAATCTGCAGTTAAAGGCCAGGCATGGTGGCTCACGCCTGTAATCCCAGCACTTGGGAGGCTGAGATAGGAGGATCATTGTGAGCTCAAGGCCAGCCTTAACTACATAGAAACCCTGTCTCAAAAAAGACACACACACACACACACACACACACACACGCACGCACGCACGCACGCACGCACGCGTGCGCGCGCGAAAGAAAAAAGAAAAAGAAATCTGCAATTAGTATTTTGGGGGTAGAATGATGATTGGGTTTTGAATACATTCAAACTAACTAAATAAACAGCACATCAGGAAGTACAAAAATAACCCAGAACACCTCTTCTACCAAGTTCACCTGATAGTCCACAAGGAGCTCTGGTCCCTTGAAGTACCTCGAGGCTACTCGAACATTGTACTCCTGAGCAGGATGATAGAACTCTGCCAAGCCCCAGTCTATCAGTCGCAGCTACAAGTATGAAGGGAAAACAAACACATGTGAAAGGAATGCTTCTGAATTGCTGAGCCTAGAACAAGGACACATCACATTTCTGGCAACAATTATACATGGCCACACAAAAAATGTAAGCAGGTACACTGGTTAAAAAATTGTACTTCAGCAACTGCATCAGAGGTTACTTCTGGAGCAGAGCACTCAAAAAATTTTTATTTTCTAATTTGAATTATCCTGGTTTAACACTCTCTCTAGATCAATAAAACTGAACTTTTCTTTTTTTGCCACCTTTTTTTTGGTACCAAGGATTGAACTCATGACTGCACGCGTGCAAGGCAGGCACTTACGCTGCTGAGCTAAATTCCCAGCTCCCTCCTTTTTTAGCCACTTTACAAGTGTAGCATATCCCCCCATCATAGTTTGCATTAAAGCTCCAGGTATAACGAAAAACGATTGGGAACACATATCCCATGCCAGGACCAAAGCACAGCTCCAACTTGTTATAAATCTAATACCAGCTGATTCATTTACTTATCAATTAAGGACAACCAGAGTTGGATATCAAAATTAGGAGGGGCCCAACTGAACTTTTAAGGTCAGGCAGTTTGGTGTGAGGATCATTAAGTGACGCAGAAATCACCAGTTGTAGTTTCTTTCTGGGGCCTTTGGGAAAATTAAATTAAAACAAGTTGGGGTCATCTGTCCATTTTTCTTACAGAAACCAGCTCTGGAGACTGGAGAATGCTAACAAGTCTACCAAAAGAAACAGCTTGGTGTTCAGAAATTACTTTGGTAAAAACAGCTGCTGGCCAGTTTGTAGCCTTCTAACAAAGGCTTGTTGCTGTCTGGTGGTAATGGTACCTTTTTTTGTTGGTGATCTATCATGACATTGTGAGGTTTCACATCCCTGTGCATGATTCCCTTGCTGTGGCAGTAATCCAGAGCCTAGTAGGTAAGAAAGCACACAGAAGAGTAAGCAACCCTTTACCACCCCTCAACAAAAGCATTTTTATTATTTGTGACACCCTGATGTGAATGTAGAATCCCAACAGGGATCGAGTGCCAGTAGGTTAAGTGGGAGAAAAAAGTGCTTCGGAAGGTGCCCCTGGCTCTCTGTGCAAACCATGTCTGGCAGCTGACAGAAAGGGGCTATGGAGGGAGGCGGAAGGTTTCCTTCAAGGAGAGAAATGAAAAAATCAGATTTGAGGTCTTACTGTAGTCACCTCTCAATGATTCAAAGGACAAGCCAAAATCCATGTGGATGTGAAGAATGATGTTCAAATATAATCTTTCAATGTAACTGGTTTTATAGACAAGTGAGCAATGTGGGTTTTGTAGATCAAAACATATTAGTTTTTTCCTTAATACAATTATTGAATTAGGTGGCTTTTAAGAAATACCATTATTGCTCTAAGGGAGAAAATTACTTTTCATAAGATAATCAATATGTAGATTAAGATCTTCAAGTATACAAGTCAATGATTTTAAGTAAATCTAGACAGCTCTACAACCCACCATTCTAGTATTTGAACTTTTCCATTACTTCCCAAAATTACCCTTAGATTTGTTTGCACACTTCCCACTTCCAATCATTTCCAACCACTGATTTGCTATCTGTTACTACAGATTATTCTTTTATGGACATTTATGAAATAATATCATACAGATACAGTAGTTCTATCCTCTTTCATTCAGCATGATTTTGAGATTTTCCATGCTGCTTTTTTCTTACCAAGAAGCATTCCTTTTTATGTATATGGTATTTTAGCTGAGGGACATTGGGTTACTTCTACTTTTGACTTTTAAGAACAATCCACCTATGAATATTCAAAAGCTAATCTTGAGAGATATATGCTATCATTTCTCTTGGTTACATTTCTAGCAGCTCAGGTGCTGGGTTATTTGTTAAGTTTAACTTTTTAAAGACGTACCTAATTATGTTTTCAAAGGCTATACTATTTAATAGTCCACCAGCAACATCTGAGAATTCCAGTTTTTCTACATTATCGCCAATATTGTCATTGTTCACTTTTTGATTATACATATTCTGGTGGTATGAAATGGTTATTTCATTGTTGTGTTTTCAATTTTCATTTCTATGAGTGATGAAGTTGAACATTTTTTTCCTGTGCTCATTGGACAGTCTATATTGCTTTTGGAGAAATGCTGATTTATGTTTCATTTTTTTACTGTGTTTAGGCTATAGTTTTTTTAAGTATAAAAGCTACTGTTAAATCTTCCCTTTCTTATATAATTACTTGCATAAATTTCAAAGTTGGGATCTTTGGCTTATTTTTAGAAGCACCTAAAAGCTACAAGAGGCCAACGATATACTATGTAATGACAGCAGCTATAACCATACGGAACTTACTACAGGCACACTGCTGAGTGCTCCTGTTAGAATATTCCACAACCATGGCACTGCTGTCATTTTGGGCCAAATAATACTTTGTATGAGATTTTATATATTGAAGGATATTTAGCAGACTCTGTGGCCTCCACTCACCAGATACCAGAAGTGCCCCTCCAGTTATAGCAACAAAAATCATTGTGGATACTGCCAAATGCTTGTCCTCTGAGGAACAAGCTGACTTGATTTGGGAAGCCTCTGAGCTAGAAGGGGAAGGACACTGTACTAAGTATCTTTATATTGAAGAAATACATTTTTTTGAAAAATAGCTTTCATGCTTAATAGTCAGAACTATACCTGATTTTTCAATATATTGAAAAATATATTGAAACTATACATATTTTTCAATACAAGCCAGAGACTAATTTCTAAGTTCAGCACTCCAGGAGTAAGCTCCTTTGGTCTGTATCATATTTTGTTTTCTCCAGACACCAAAGAACAAAGAAAATGTAAGTTTTTTATTTGAAAATAAAGAATAGTCAATGCTAAACTATGGAAACACTAAAGCAAGAGTGTGTGAGAGAACACTCCTGGGTCTTCATTACACTCTCCTGGTACTGCTCAACAGCATGTTCTGCATCAATGCAAAAAAATCTATACTTGCACTGCACAATGTGGTGACCACCAGACACCTAAGGCCACTGAGCACTTGAAATGTGAGCAATATGCCTACGGCATTAAATCCTTAGTTAATTAAAACAGCTTCCACTAGAATCAGTTACTATGTAGGGTAATATAGTTCTATACATGAGCAATGGTTTTAGATACATAAGCAATGGTTTTAGATACATAAAATCCAAAATTATGTACACTTCAGATTCATTCACTTTTCTTTGTTTTATAACAGTTGCAGCAAGACTTCAAAGTGCCTTTGTGACAGTGCCTTACGAAACCAGGGCTGTAAGGGCACACCTCCTCAAATTAGGTCAGGTCATTCTGCCAAAGCCTCCAGGAGTCACTGGGCCCTTAACCTGGGCTGCCTCTACACTTTCAGTCAAGTTAAACATTTTCTCTTTTCAATTTCTTTTTCCTGGAGAAAATTTAACAATGTTGATTCTGCTATTTCACCTCATCTGTGCCAGAGGAATAAACTAATCAGAATCACAATGCCTGGGATGTGAAAAATATCTGGTGAAAGCAAAGACTAAACAAATAACACAAGATAGTTAATTCTGTTGCTGAGTTTACTAGTCAGACTCCCTATGGAGGTACTGACACGAATTTAAGTTTTTTGGTGAATTATTTCAGCTTTAAAATCAGGTATAGTTCTGACTATTAAGCATGAAAGCTATTTTTCAAGTTTCACCTGTATTCTAAGCCTCAGTAGCAGAAGAAATATGTTCTTTCTGCCTGCTGCTGTCACTAGAAAGCAGGACGGACACTGAGTGACATCTGCACGACCAGCACGTGCAGATTTGCATTATTGAGGTGTCTTTACTGAATGATGAATGTGCCAGGTTATTAAAATTTAGCTAGCTAAAAACTACAAAACCTCAATGCATATAGTTCTCTCTCTTTTTTTTGAAGTCAGGGTATTGCTACGTAGCTCAATCTGGTCTTGAACTCACTATATAGCCTAGATAGGCCTCTAACTCATGGCAATTCTCCTGCCTCAGCCTTTGGAGTGCTGGGATTGCAGGCATGTGCCACTGTAGCAGGCAGTACAGAGTTTCCTAGGAAGACTTCTAAAAAAGTTCACAGACTTCAACTGTAGTCTGGAGAGCAAGGAGAAAGGCAGGTTCAGTCCAGTTCTATCTCCTTTATCTTGCTGACAAGGCCCAGCAGACAAAGACGGAATCTTGAAATCCAGATCTTCAGCTTTCTCTAATGAAGTGGCTTGTGTAAGCATTCACATGAGAAAATATGTCATAGTGCTAGCTCTTTACATTCCCATTTTTCAAAGGGACCAGCCTTGATTCAATTTGGTATTTTGTTGAAACAATTCTTTGTAACTCCTAAAAACCCCATCTTGGCAATTTTCTTCAATAATGATCTTTTTCAAGATCCTATCTTATTTCAGAGGTTCTTAAACTGAGATCCAAGGCCCCTGCTAAAACTTTATGCAATACTATATATTTATACATGCACTTTGAGTTCGTAACTTTTATTGGGTTCCCAGTGATCCATGACCCTACAATGCTAGAACCCACTATTGTATATCATTTTATAAATCTTTTTAGAATTCTTTAATTTTTTTTTTTTTAATCTTTTTCATTTTTATCGGTACCGGGGATCGAACTCACGACTGCCTGCTTGCAAGGCAGGTACTTATGCCGCTGAACTAAATCTCCAGGCCCCGAATTCTTTGATTTTTATAACTAGACAGACTACAGACTATAGAAGATCATTCCCCATACTCAGTAATGATTCACAATTTCATTTGGATTAGTAAGTCATTTATAAAGTCTATCCACTAACTCTCCCTGTACTAACCATAGTAGTTGTGGCCAGAGGGAAAGAATAGAGTTCATTCAAGGGGACGTTGAAAGATATGACAATAAAAGAGGGCTTCTCAGTGTCTGCCATTCCCACACATGTGACTTTCTGTCAAGAACGGTATTTCCACACTCCGAGGCCAGGCTTCTTCATATGATTTGCTTTGCCAACAGGGCACTGGCAAACATGACACAGACAGAGGGTTGAAAAGTGCCTCTCTTGCTGCTAAGAACCTGAGACTACCATGGGCAGTTGCCTGGCCTAACCTCCTGAAAAAGGACAACTCAGCTGTCCCAGGTCAGGCTGAAGATACGTGAATAAGGCCATCTTGGACCATCCTATCAGAGTCAAGTTGGCCCAGCTCTTAAAGAATCCTCCAACCAATTGGAATCAGGAGAAATAAATCATTTTTTCAAAGTCATTAAGTCTGGGCAACTTGTTATACAGAGAAAACAAAGTATTACTAAGTGTCAAAACGAAAATCCAAGGGATATGACAGGTTCTACTCTTGGGCATAAAAACTCCTAATACTCCTTGACTTGGCCACTCTTTCCAATTTTACTAGAAAATTTCCATGTGAGATCCCATAATGGAGGCCTCAACATAAAGTAAACCTCACTAAATTCTCTGGTTATCAGAAAATATTTTGTGTTCTCTTTGTCCTTTCAAATACTTGTTTAACGAATGAGCCCCAAAGAGTACACTGTTTATGAATGCTACTTACTTTAAGTAGTTCATACATATAAAACCGAATATCAAAGTCTGTCAGGATCTGATAGAGTTGCTGAAACAGATTTCAGAAAACACAAAGTTAGTCTTTTTGCATCTTGTTATCTTAAGTGTCAGCCATTATCTGTAAACTTAGTCCTTAAGTTACTAATAAAACTCATGGCTTTTTATTACCTGATAAATAAAATGGACTAAATGGTAAACATGAGTTTAATACTTTAATCTTCAGAAGAAATCATCCATCCATCCATCTGTCCATTTATTCCATAAGAGGAAAACATTTAAGCCAACTTGGATCTCTGCTATTTAATGTTCCACAACTTTCTTTCTTTCTTTAGGTTTTTTTGAGACGGGGTCTCACTATCTAGTTCAGACTGACTTTGCACTCACTATGTAGCCCAGGCTGGCCTTGAACTCATGGAGATCTTCCTGTCTCAGCCTCCTGAGTGCCAGGATTACAGTATGTGTGCCACCATGCCTGGCATGCCGTAACTTTAATGATCACGATTACATTACTGTAAAGTCTCAGTTGTGTAACTGTCCTCATATTTTTACTGTATATCAAACCAACCAATCCTACTGCAGTATGTCCTGGAGAAATGACTTCTAAGTGGACAGCAGAGCCCCTTGGCTTATGTGGTATTACAGTGTTAAGACAGCCATGGTGTTTGTGAAAGAAACAGAAGAAAAATGAGGTGATCTACTGTTTGGAGATGGCAAGCCTTTCAAAAACCCTATGCCTTCTGCTCACCCAAAACCAATCCCTATCTGGAAAAAAGACTGCTTCCTAGGCATTATGTTTTAGGGGCAAGAAAAAAGGAGTAGGGGAAGGAAGAAAAGACAGGTGCCAGAAGTGATTACAGGCCAAAATGACATATGAATGAAAACTTTCATTACTGGTAATTCAAAGATCCACCCAATAGGAGCTTAAAAAAGTCAATCTCTAAGAATCAGACTACAAGGTTCATTAAAAGTATGACAAACCCTTGACCTTTGATATTCAGTCAACTCCAAGTGAATCTCTTTCCCAATCTATCTAGGCAGCACTCACACAGCACAGGGAACTCAGGGTCCCTAAGGAGCACAGTGTATACAATGTGTCTACATAAAGCAGGAAAACAGAACCAGGCATAATTTTTTTGTCTTTTTTTGAGACAGGGTCTTGCTGTTCAGTTCACACTGGCCTTAAGCTCACTTTGTAGTCTAGGCTGGTCTCCAACTCCCATCGATCCTCCTGCCTCAGCCTTCAGAGTGCTGGGATTATAGGCATGAGCCACCACGCCTGGTTCAGGCATAATTTTTGTGTTTGTAAAAATGATATGGCAGCTAATACTTTTTTTTCACTCCCTCTTTCAGAAAGTAAGAGTAACCTTCCAGATTAGTAAGAATATATGGTCTCATCAACCTCAGACAGCTGCAGGTAAAACACACAGGCCACCTGGGTGTCTTGAAGATGCCCCCGTGCTGGGGATGATCCTGGTAGGGGATGAACTGCACTCAAGCACAGAGGCACAAATACATTACCATTTCTGCCTAGGAGAGCTTCTGCTCCATAACCGCCAAACCCCCAGTTTTTGTCCTCCCAGCTCTGCTCTGCAATGCAGACTTCTTAGCCAGCATTCTGCGGCAACCAACAGCCAGAAAACACAGATGCAGGGTTAAGATACCACCTTGGATGTGCAGATCACTGGCAGAAACTGTCCTAAACTGAATGTCAAGTCAATATACAGCCCATGAAAGAGAAAAGATTGAATTCTCTAATCTCAGAGGGCTGGGATATTTTATTTCCACAAAACATAGGCTATTTTGTTCAGATTTTTGTTTGTGAAAGGCTTCCCTTTCATATCATGTGCTATCTACCAAGCATCTTTGTAAACAGCATAAAGTATAAAAATAAGTATCCTCGGACTGCCAACATAGTATTTCTAGCTATTGTAATCAGTGTCAATTTTTTTTTTTTTTTTTTTGGTACCAGGGATCAAACTCACAATCTCGTGTTTGCCAGGCAGGTGCTTATGCTGCTGAGCTAAACCCCTGGCCCTAACCAGTATCAACTTTATTTAACACAGAAGACATCAGCCTTCTAACAGTGGTTGGACCTTATGTATTATACAGTCCTGAATGACTGGCTGCCATTCACCCTCCCCTCACAGGAGCTCTGGGTGTGAGGACACCAAATTATATCTATAACATTTAGCCTCCTGGGCATAAAATTCACTTCTCTCCAGGACTCTACCTGGCCTCCTGAGACTTTCATAGTTCTGATCCCCATGCAACCCTCAAGATTCCTCTCCTCTGATTGCACAAGCCCGCATTTGTTGCCTCTGCTCTTTCCTCTCCAGGATCCCCTCCCCTCAATCTGTAATTCACTCCTTCTTATCTACTTTCTAGAGAGCAGATGCTGGCTTCTACCTTCTCCAGACTCTAGGCCTTTTCCTTGCCATCTGGGTGTTCATTGGACACAGGGATCAGCAGTGGCCCCAGAGTTAACATTTCTCTCTTGGACACTGGTAGGGACCCAAAGTTCTCAAGGCAAAGGTTCCACTCTGTTGTACACACAAAGCTACTTCAATTTAGGAGTCCAGTGCTGACACTCCCTCCACACTGTGCCACACACACAACACAGGGGGAACTGGGTATTAGGGCTGGTAGTGGTCACCAGTTTGGTGATTCAAAATCTCTGAACTTTCCCCACCCTGTAAATATGGCAGGGGTCCACTGCATCACTGTTTTCTGCAGTCAAATGCTCTACTATTAAGCTATACCCCCAACCTGTTTTCTTCACATAAAACTCTTGACGTATTTTCAGTTGTTGCACAGTGGAACAGTATATCTACTCCATACAAAGGATGGTGGTCCTGTCTATGCAGATGTTTTTATTTTTATAATGCTCACTAGTCAATAGAACAAGATATAGACTATCTGGGAAGAAATAGAAGAGTCTGCAACAAATTAGGGAGAATTGACAAGAACCATACTTTTCATTCAGTTATGTGAAGAACATCACTAACCAAGCAACTGCAGAATGTTTTTAGGAAGTCAGCTTTGCTCATATTTTCATGAAGTGATTTATCAAAAATAAAGCAAGCCTATGCTTCCCAGAAGATGATGGTGGAGGAAAGGAAGAAAGTACTCACCAGTCACATGTTTGCTGCAAAGCCTCAAACATATTTGCATTTTCCTAGAAAACAGTTCTATTATATAGGCCTACTCTCAAGGGCCAGTGATTGAAACTTCTTGGGTCTTCTAATAAACCCTGAAAAGTCTGAGGAAGAAGATGCAGACACTGCAACTTTACCATCAGGTTCAGGGACACTAGGTTCAAAGTCACAGACACCATAGAACGGCCACGGGAGACCTTGCTCATCCTGCTGCATGGACACACAGGCCCTTCAGATGCCAGGGGAAGGAGCAGCCACACCACGACCAGCCAGACTCCAAGGCTCAGCCCCCACTGACTACCACACAGGGAGATTCCTGAGCAGCACACAGGGGGTACATGACCCACAAACACAGGTCCAGAGGGCACAGGCTCCCCAAGCACACAGGGGGCATATGACCCACAAACACAGGTCCAGAGAGCACAGGCTCCCCAAGCAGCAGGAGGAAAAAAAGTGGGAGGACAAAGATATAAAGTCAGAGTGAATGGTGTGTTTTGCCAGTTGCCAGTTTAGATATTGCTAATTTGTAAATCAATCCCCAAGATCAACATTAAGACAAGGTCAACATTTTTTAGAGCCCTTAACCAAGCAAACAAAAGTTAGAGTCAGTTACCTAAAAATGTCACTTATCTTAAAGACTTAACCAAAAAAAAAAAAAAAAAAAAGAGAGAGAGAGAAAGAGAAAATAATGTTCCTGGCCTGCAATCACAGTACGTTTGTTTCCAATTCAGGAAAATGAACTTACACTGTAACAAAGCTTCACAGGGTCAACTAACCCAGGTCTACCACAAGGTGAGTGATTTAAAAGTCTCTAAATATCAGTGTGAATCTACCATCTTCTTAGAAGAAAGCCCATTCAGTTTCTTATCAATCTTTAAAATGTCCAAATGATTCCTTTTGGGGGGGGGAGGGCACTACTCATTTTTATTTATACTATTTGAAGGCACAGCAAAAAGAAAAGCATCTCTCAACAGAACCATTTTCCCCGAGACATTTTGGATTTAGGTATGCAACAGCTAACCAGTCTAACTTAGAGACTGGCTTTTTTCACTCAGTTTGAAGTTCTGTCTTTTGTTCTAAGTGTCACCACTTATCTTTTTATTATAACTTTGACATATATAAAATGTTAAATGATGGTTTTGAGTAGAAACTGACCAAATTGGTACCTTTAAGCATAAGGGAAAAATTAGTGAGACCATAAAGATCTGAACTAATTTAGTAAGTATGAAATAAAAATGACCATGCATTAAAATCACGAGATAAACTTCCAGAAATTCCACATAATTAACATTATATAGCATGACTATCCTTTATGTGAAATGCTTGGGACTGAAGTGTTAGAGGTTTCAAATTTTTTCAGTCCTCTCATATACATGGCTCAGTTTACTACATGAAATAGAAAAAGTAGAGAATAAACCTAGAAGTTGGGTTTTTGAAAGAATTAGTATAAAATCTCCGAAAAGCTGATTTAAATTTTTAAAAAAGAAGGCAAGGGCATAGAGAATAGCTAATATGTACTTATTTATTTAGTAGTACTGGTGATTGAATCCTGGGCCTTCGCCTTGAGCCATGTCCCAGATCTTTTAAAAAAGTTTTTGAGATAGGGTTTTGCTAAACTGCTAAACTTAAAAGGCTGGGTTTGAACTTCTAACACCCTTGCTTCAGTCTCACAAAATTCTGGGATTTACAGTGTGCACCACCACACCTACCTCAGAAAACATATAAAATGTAAGGGATAAAATGTATTGCACAATAAAAAACCCTCAATCCACTAAGACAGTGGATGAGATGACATTTTGAAGCCAGAAAATATGTCTAGCTGACTTAGCAGATCGAAAAAACTAAAAATTCTGTAACATTAAAGGAGATCAGGTAGCACGGAACTTCTAGCTGAGAAACTACAGAAACGGTCAGGAATGGATAACCTCAGACACTGCTGAGGGTAAACAGTGAGTTGAAAACAGAAAACAGGTTTAATTCCTCCAAGAAAACAGGAGAGGAAACTAAATACTCCGTAACACCCTCATAGCTATCAGCCTGACACTATGATGATGTTAGCAGTCAAGTGTGTGTCCTTAAAACAAGATATGAGCAGTACTAGAAAATATGAGCATATATTCAAGAACCATGAAGAACCATGACATTTTATATGATTATCACAGAGACACAAACACACAAAGGAATTTGGAAGAAAAACAAAGAAAAGGTATAAAGGGAAAAAATATAATACTCTCAATGAGAAAATAGAAGATACTACATAAAACATAATAGGTCAGTTTTAAAGGTTCAGAGATCGAAGTGGACTTCTTTTTTTTTTGTCTTTTTCCTTTTTATCGGTACCAGGGATTGAACTCACGACTGCCTGCTTGCAAGGCAGGCACTTACGCCGCTGAGCTAAATCTCCAGCCCCCGAAGTGGACTTCTAACATTTGAAGTTTAATACCTGAATGAGTTCTAGAAGGTGAGAAGAAAGGGATGAAAATCAAAGAACATTAAAAATATTTTCTCCAAATGGAAGGATATGAGTTTTTAGATCGAAAAAGCAAGTATCCAGAACAAAAGATGAAAGGACCAGAAGGACAGCACATCATTGTGAAATTTTAGAAGATAGGAATGAAGAGAAAATCTGAAAAGCTTCCAGATAAGAGGGAAAAGTCATGTAAAATGAAATTAGAATGGCTCAGTGGTAATATTGAAACCTTTTCAAACTGAGGAAATTATGAACTGTAATGTAGAATTCTATTCCGCAAATATATAAATTGTGAAGGTGAGGTAAGCACTGACTCCCATGATCTAGCCCTCTGAAGAAAGCTTTTAGAGAATGCCTATCTTCTTCAAAATATTCCTTTGAGGATAAGATTCCAGAGGAATGAGATTTTTCCAGGGAACCAGAATTTCTGCCAGTTATCTACAGCATGTTGTTACATTAACTGGGCATATGTCACTTTTAAGAAACATAAACTGCTGAAGTGAAATCTGACATGTGAAGTTAGCCAACAAAGCAAAGGTATTTAAAACCTGTGAGAAAGGAGAAATTAGTACAAGTTAGCAATCAAAAGTGGGAACCAGGGCAGAGATTTAGCTTAGCAGTACAAGCGCCTGCCTAGCAAACAAGAGGTCCCAGGCAAGGGACCTCTGGTCCTTCTGCCTCACCCCCCTAGTAGCTGGGATTACAGGTACATGCCAGAGGGAACTGCACTATGATGGTTCCATTAATACTACCCTTTAATCTTTTAAATTAAAAATTTTTTTAGATAGGGTCTCGCTATGCAGTTCAGGCTGAACTTGAACTCACTATATAGCTTAGGCTGGCCTCGAACTCATGACAATGTTCTCCTTCCTCAGTCTCCTGAGTGCTAGGACTACAGGTATGTGCCACCATGCCTGGCTATTCTTCAATCTTTTACATTAGGAAAATATTTGGTTTTATTAATGACTATCTAGTTCTCTAAGACATACTTGCACATTCCTATTCATATATGTATGCCTTGATAAATCTGGGTGATTTCATTCGAACAGTTACATGGTACAGAGCCTTATCGGCTAAGAAACACTGCGTTGCTGAATGAAAATATTTATATCTCACTTTTTCTATATCCTAGTTTTAGGAGCTCACCACTTGACTGTACGAAGTTACATTAACAGGAATATATGCTACATATAGAAAACTCTATACTATATATAAAACTTCCTACTTAATGCTTTTTAAGTGAAAACATCTATTTTGCTTATTTTTTACTAGCCTTATTTTTTAAAGTGATTATCTAAAATAATTAAATATTGGGATAAGGATCTCTTTCTTTCTTTCTTTTTTTTTTTTTTTTGGTACCAAGGATCAAACTCATGACCTCGTGCTTGCCAGGCAGGTACTTATGCCACTGAACCATATCTCTGGCAGGATCTCTTTATTGCCCCCAAAATCACTCTTGATACCAGCATCTTTAGCTGGGGATTTGGTTTTGTCTCCAGCTTCTATTTGAACAAAATTAGAAGTCCAATTCACTGCCAGTTATAAACACCTAAACATCTACTAAATGTCCCTGAAAACCAACACTATTTTTTTATATTCTCAAATGTGTGATCTAAAAAAAGGGTTTCTACCAGTATGATAACTTATCATATGTTAAAGTCTCAGTGTATGAAAAACATTTAAAACTATGCTTTTAAAAAATTTCAAAGGTCTCCCATGATACACATTTTAAATATAATATATATCTCCCAGAAGAGGGCTCTTCTAAAGCAGTGACTCTTTACTAGGTTTTTGGTATCACTTACTTTGTACAGTGTCTATGAACACAAACTCATTATTTGAGTGTCAGTGCATTTGACAGAATCTTTGTTAGTCTCAGGAACTGAATGCAAGTCTTTTCAGGGGGCAAGAAGAAAAACATAATTAACTGTGAAATTATCAATGGGCCACACTGTGAAGCTATTGCTTTGGTTTGATACTATTAAATACTTCACCATACAAAGCCAAATACATTCCCCCCAAATTATATACAATAAAATTTAAAAAACATATCATTATTTGATAGTTCTAATCCAATACACTGCTTCTTTTACAAGAGCCCTACATCAGTTTATTTCTTATCAGCAATGTAAGATTTATTATGAAAACCAAAGTTACCATCCATCTAGAACTATGCAGACTAAAATAGGAGTATTAAGCAGGAAGTATTAGCTTAGACCTAGCTGAGCAGCAACTACCACAGCAAGCAAAGGGAGATAAACTAATTTCCCTAAAGGCTAGAATTACAACTACTTTCTGTCCTGCACTCACGATATAAGGAGTATTATTTTCTACTTTCACCAATGGTATCATCGGTTTCTCTGTGTTCAGGAGCTTCAACAGTACTCAGCATCACTTTTCCACCCTTCAGCAAACTCACACCAGAAAGAAAAAGTATACGCACCTTAAAATCTGTATTATTGATATATTCAAATACCAACGCTGGTGTCTTAGACTGCAAGAGAGAATATTAAGGTTTTTTAAGTATGCAGACAGTAATAAATGTGATTTGCCTCCACCACAATGGTGTATCCCCAAATCCTACAAGATGGAAGAGCGATTCAAAAGTATTTTCTGGAAATCTTATGACATTTGGAACCTCTTCAAAATAACTGAGAATGGTGGGAGGTAGAAGAAATGGGAAGGGGCACAGATGGAACCACAGCTCGCCACAAACTGATTAACCATTACATTTGAGTGACATTTTTTTTTTCATTTGTCTTTTTTCCTTTTTACCGGTACCAGGGATTGAACTCATGACTGCCTGCTTGCAAGGCAGGCGCTTTATGCCGCTGAGCTAAATCCCTAGCCTTTGAGTGACATGTTTAGAAGGTTCAGTACATTATTCACTTTACTTCTGTAAATGGCTGAAATTCTTTATAAAGTTTTTTGTTTGTTTAAAAAGGAAATATTCTCTGAAAAGTCTACAAATGACCTTGATCAAATGGTTAATGGTTACAAAAAAATTTATACTCTGTAGTATTCTAGTGTGTCAACTACAAAAGCAGTGACATTTTTATCTAGGCTTAACAAGGTACATTTGACAGAATTTTTGTTAGTCTCGAAAACTGAATACAGGTCTTTCAGAGTGCAAAAAGAAAACATAATTATCAATAGGTCACACTGTGAAATTACTGCCTTGGTTAGAGATCATTAAAAAACACCTAATCCTTCAAAGGCAAACATATTCTCCCATATAATGAATTTTTAGAAAGCACTAAAATGTTAATATTTTTGGAACCAGGAATCGAACTCAGGACCTTGTGCTTGCCAGGCAGGGTCTTATGCTGCTGAGCTATATTCCCAGCCCCAACGTACTAAAATCTTTAATGAGTTTAACATTAACATATTTAATAATGTTATAATAACTTTAACATATTCAATACTTCCTTGTGGAAATCTAGATTTTTAAAAAATTTTTTTGTGAAAATTAGATTTTTAAAATGTCAGGTTTTCTTAAGTGAAATAAAGTTAATGTAAACTGGCAGTTATAAGCTTTCAAAACTGGGAGAAAAACAGAATCTTAAAGCATTATAGACATTAAAAAAAATTAATCTTGGAAATATTTATTGCTGGTAATTTTTGCTCAAGGACGAGGTCAAAGTTACCTAAGAAACAGGTTGTAGCATATACATACAGCGCTTTGCCAGAACAATGCAGAGTCCAAGCAGAATACCCAGAAGCAGCTATGACAAATGATTCTTCCCTGCCCGCAAACTGCAAAGGCTTCATCAAGACCAGATTTCTTTCCATACTCCTAAGTGAGCCTAAGCCCCTCCAAAGCACAGGACAAGGATTCCCTGCTACTTAATTTACTTGTCTTACAAATTAGTAAATATATATATTTTATTTAAAAAAAATTTTTAAAGACAAGGTCTTGTTATGCAGTTCAGTTTAGCCTTGAACTCACTATGTAACCCCAGCTGGCCTTCAAGTTCCAGCGATTCTCCTGCCTCAGCCTCCCAAGCGCTAGGATTACAAGTGCGCACCACTACACCTGGCTATTATGCATATATTTTAACAAATTACAAAAATAGTAAGGTATCACTACATTCTGTTAATGTAAAACAGTATGAAGATGTTCCTGGTATACTACTATAGGGCTCACATTTTAAAACTCTTCTGAAATTAGTATTTTTACATACGACATTCTACTTTAAATGAGCAAAATTCATTTTTTAATGAGGCCAGTTTCTAACATCAGGCAGTCCACAGCTAATCATTAAATCAATCTGAGCCAAGTAGAATGTGATATACTTTTAATAATAACCAGATACAGTCTGGCATACAACTACTCCTGTATTTTCAAGACCCAGGAAAAAACCTTCCCTTATTTCTCAACCCTGTGGACTCATGGGCAAATCATTTAACCTCTGCAGACTTCAGCTTCCTCATTGTACAAAGTGGACAATGGCTCTCTAGATTGTTACGAGGATCAAATGACACGATACTGTTCAATATGAAGAACAGTGTACTCCATGCACATTAGCTATTTTATCAGGAGGGTATCTGTAGCAGGCAGAAGCAAAGTTCTATTTCTTACATTGAAAAAAACAAAGCAAAACAACAACAACAAAAACCTATCACATAGGAGAACAACGAAATACCTGAAGTAGAGCAGGTAGAGAACAGAAATGAAGTAGGAAGTGGTATGTGTGTGTGTGTGTGTGTGGTACGGGAGAACTTAGCAAACTTCTTTAATTAAACACACAGAATGTTATATTTCACCCAGGGAGAGAACAAAATTCAGCAGTATACCCGAAAAGGCTAAAAATCAATGATTTTAACAAAATATTTTATGTGTAAGAATATATATTTTCATTGTATTTATACACACAATATGAGTCCTTACGCTGGATGGGGAATTAAAGATAAGTACAAGAAACAGCCAGGCTTCCTCCTCAAGGGGTTTGGTGGGCTGTAACCTAATCAGCTTTGTATGTGGAGACATTGAGCACTTCCTTGTACCTACCCGGACAGGCTTATTTATGAGTGAGGAAAGATAATGAAAACAGCAGTAATAAGGTTTCAAAACTGACACAAAAGCAGGGGCTTAAGGTGGTTACACAGCAAACTGGGAACTAAATCAAAATAATGAGGTAGCAAACTTGGGACAGGGTTTTTTCCTATACATATTTTTAGATTTCACAAAAGTGATGGTAACTATCTTATCAATGGGCTATCATGGTTTTTGTCTGGTTTTCAAAGTCTCGAGCCAAATGCCATCATCCCCACTATGTATTATTACTTGATCTCTGTAGTAAACCCCTCCTCCCCACTACCCCCAAGTCCATCAGCCACCAGGCACCTACCACGGGGTCCTTTACAGTGTCAATCAGCTTAATGATATTTGTTCCACCACGAAGATTTTCCAGAATTTTAACCTCTCGTTTTATCTTCTTTTTCTTCACTGGCTTAAATACACAAGAGCAATCAGAAATGAGACTCTTTTAAAATTAATAAATACAACTTTAAAACAGTGTAAGCCAATTATATGGCTTGCATCCCATCTTATATACTGTGCTGTGTTAAAAGAGCATGCCTAAAGAGAAAACAAGAGTTAAAATAGGTTGCCTGTAAAAACCTTAAAAACCGATTTAAACAATTTATAGATTAATGTACCTTATGTGTCAAGGTCTTTAAGTAGTTACATCTAGGACCACTTTAAAAAATGTGAACATTCAGCTATACTTAATAAAATGCTCACTTACTAGACAACTGCCAAGTGGAAAGTGTTATAGCTCTGAACAGCTGTATACTATGGACTCACAAATGGAAAAACTGAAATAAAATGGTGGGACACCTGCTCACCCTCAACAAGTTACATGTAATTTTGTCTTCCAGAAGTAAAGACCAGTTCACTGACATCAAGTTACAAACTTGTTTCCCAGCTGTTGGTTCCCATTTCCTGTCGCCACTCCCATTTCCTTAATATTTAGAATCTGAAATCAGCACAGAGCCAGTAATATTTCCCAACAGATCCCATTCCTAAAGAAAGAGATGTTGGATCAGCAAAACAAACAAACAAACAAACAAACGAACAAACAGATTTTATACTGGAGTACCAAAAGTCTCTATCTGCAAGGTACTAGATAGAAAAATTAAAGAGACCTTAATTAGAAATAATACATAAGTTCCTGTTTTAAACAGGCTAAAGAATTTGAATAAAGGTAGTTCTGAAAAAATAAGAATATCACATGCAAGTATGCTTCATAAGGCACTTAGAACAGTGACTGGCATATAGCAAGTACCTGGTAATTGTTAGCTTCATTATTTTTGAATTTTTAGTTAATACTAAGTCATATTTAATCCTCACAAAATCTCTATGCAGTACAGTCAGCAGAGTAAAGCTATTTGCCCAAGGTCACAGCTAACAGAACAGGGGCAGGAATCAAATCTGGGCAGTCTGACTCTGCATACTGCATTCTCCACCACTATGCTTTTGTTCCCCAGTGTGGCTAAAGGGAGAAACATAACTAAGGAGAATAAATATTCTATTGCAAGAAACTGTTATAATAACACAGGCAAAGAGGGGCCAATATGCTTGCTATGAAACAATAAAGCAAGATCTAAAGTCTGTATGAGGGACAGAAAAATATGCCAAAAAAAAAAAAAAAATCATCCTTTTTGGCTGGTCAGAACTACAGCACTGGAAAACTACCAAATAGCTTCTGGATCACCTATAATATGGTGTTCAACTGTGGGGTAGCACCCTAGCTGTGTCTTTGCAACTTACCTACCATGATAATGACTAGTTTCTACACTGTCAGGATTTCTAGGACAGTAGATCTGGCTGTTGTATCTCTTCCTCATTTCTACTTAGGAATATCCTTATTTTAGTTACTGTTCTCTCATTGCTGTGTCTGTATCTCACAATGTGATTCAAGAGCCCTTGGGAATGGCTTGTGGGAACACATTGAAACGGTCTGAGAACATTGCCTGGAATGCCTCAGCTGGTCAGAGATCAGAGACCAGGAGGCTGATACAAATCTTGCCAGTAAAGACCAGGTTCTGGAGTTTCTGCTAGGAAGGAGGACTGCACTGTTGCTGGACTCCAGATGATGTATGTAATGGCTTGGCAAAGTCTGTTTAGAGGCCTTACCTGAGACTGACAGATTAAGGGCAGTGGACTAATTAATCTGGCAGAAGATATTTCAAGGTGGTCAAATATTGAAGCTGTGGCATGGCATGTTGGGGGCTTTTAGCCAGATTTATGTTGAGAATCTAGAGCAGAGAGCCCAGCAGGATGATTTAAAATGTGAGTTTGGCCAGAACGAAGCTGCAGTAAAGCTGTGAACTACAAAGATAGAGCTGAGGAGATCTCAATTGTTAAATATAAAAGATGGCCTGAGGGCATCACAAGAAGCAGCAAGTTTCTACCCCTTGCTGCCTCAAAACTTCAGAAGTGAAAGACTTGCTTTGAGGAGAAAGCTTCAGAGCAACATGTTCCAGAATGACAGCAGCATAGAAAATGTGTTCCACAGAACTGGATTCAGTGTGCCCACTGATCCTGACACATGGCTCCTATAGCCAACAGAAGGAAGCCTGGCTATTGCTCCAGCTGGCAGCAGACTTGGCATCATTCATATGGTGCTAGTTTTAGGCACACGCAAAATGCAAGAGTTGTGAGGCTAAGAAGACTTCCATCCTGATCTCAGAAGGCCTGAGAGTACCTCAGGTAATGTGCCCCTGAGAGGGTAGTATGTGAAGCCCCGAGAGTGAAGCCAAAGGTGCAGTAGAGGCCCCACAAGTTCAGAAAAGCCAGAAACATGGATTGTCTAAAACTGCAAGAAGGGAGCAAAGCAGGCCTAACAGAGAAGCCATGAGAGCTACAACCACTGGAAGTGCTATAGGGGTGAAGCCACTTAAACCTATTGGAGCTTATAGCTTTCCATAGATTGTCTCAAATGTTTTCTCTGCTGGATTTTGGATTTGCTTTGGTTCCATTCCTTTATATCCCTGTTTGTAACTTTTGAAATGAAAACATTCATCTTGTGTCACTGAACACTGGAAGTGTTTAATTTTTCATTTATATAGGAGCTTGCAGCTAAGAGTTGCCTTACATCTTGGAGACTTGGGACTTTTCAGCAAAGCTGAAACTGTTAGGAGTCTAACAACTCTTATAGGTAGACTACATGCCTTTTGCATAAAGGGATGTGCATGAGTCTTTAGGTGGCCAGAGGCAAAAATGTTATAGCTCTAATGTAATATAATGTTGATACTTAATACTGGTTCTTTAGAACTGTTAAACTTGTATTATAATGTTCAAATTGTAAAGTGATAATAAGCATGTTTTTGTATCTGGAAACTTGTTTAGAGTAATGTGTGGTTGACAAGTTGATGTGGATTCTAATGATTGATACATGGTGTCAAGTTGAGAAGTACAGAAGTGTAAGCAACTCAGCAAGAGGCCAGGGTCCTCACATCCTCCTCTTGTGCAAGAGGAGAGCACAGAGATAGCGTGTCCCCTGACTCAACTACTTATAAGGGAAAAAGAGACTTGTTCATCCTTTGGTGCTCTTGTTGCCTTTGCTGTCTTGAAGTGTTGCCCCTATGCCATACAACTTTGCCTTAGAGTCTGATTATGGATTGAAACCTCCACACACTGTGAACTAAATAAACCTTTCCTTCCTTAATTTTGGGTGTCGAGTATTTTGTCTCAGCAACAAGAGAAAAGTAATCAACACACTGCCTCTTTAGTTTCTTTTTTCCTAATTGGACAGTTCAGTATTGTGCAAAAATGAGGCACTGTACAACCTGATCAAAAAAACAGCCAGAAAGAACATACTACATAACTAGCCTAAAGTCTCAAAAATGTTAATGTCTTGAAAAGGACCAAGTAACTGTTTCAGATTGAAAAGATGACAACTGAATGTGACATATGATCTGAGATTTTCTTTCACTACAAGGCACATTATAATACAAGTGAGGTCTGGAAATTAGCTAAGAGCAGTGAGTCAATGTTCATTCTGATACTTTTAATATTTATTATGGTGTTATTCAAGAAAATGTTCTTGCATTTATTTATTTATTTGGTAGTGGGAACTGAACGTAGGCCATCCACACTGAACTATGTATCTAGCTTTTTTTGTATTTTTAAATTGTATTCTGAAACAGGATTTCCCTAAGTGGTTAGGTTGCTAGGCTGGGCTTGACTTTGCTGTCCTCTTGTCTTGCCCTCCTATAGTATTGGGATTATTTGCCTGTGTTCCACATCTGGCAAAAAGTGTCCTTGTTTTTAAGGAAAGATACATTTAAGTATGTAAGGATGACTGCAATTCATTCTCAAGCATTTTGAAAAAAATGTAAAACATACTTTTGTATGTGCATACATTTAAACACATACATTATATTTGGTATATAGATAAAAGGGAGAGAAAGACAAAGCAAATGTTAACATATGAGGAATCTGGGTGAAATATGTATGTGAATTCTTGCACCACTTCTGTAAGTCTGAAATTATGTTAGGAAGTTAAAAGAAAAATAAAAACTGGCTACGTTGTTCATATGTATAAATTCAACCAATGTTAACAGTACATTCAATGCCTTTTTTTGCAAGAAAATTCTACAGTGGCCCACTACTGGAAAGCAGGTACAGATCTGTGGTAGTAGCAACAAAGGGGAAAAAGCCCAGTCAAGTCTGTATACATCAAGAAACCTCTTCTACTCCAAACAGTGCTCCTAAGTTCCTGTAGGGGTAAATCCACTAAATAAATTGCTTTTATGACACTGTCCTACATAAAGCTTCTGCTCAGCAATAGGTCAAATGGTGCACAGTTCCTGGACAATCCAGTTAGGAGGCAACTATCTTTTAATATGTCTAAAGACAGCACCTGAATAGTATGCTGCCCAAATGTCACTTATCCAACAACTAGCCAGACTTGAGACTGGGAACACCATGCCAATTCTTCAGTGGTGGAACTGAGTCCCATAACAGTGCCCGTCCTTATATGCTGACTAAAGACCCAGAAGCTACATAAAGGGAAAACGTCAGCGAAGACACTTCCATCCAAATATAAAGAACCAGGCTAAAAGCAGCTCCCTTTAACCTCAGTTTACTCCTCTGAACCTGAGAGAGAGGTCCCAGAAGCTAAGCCACCAAAGAGCCAGAGGGAATAAGTGATCATTTTACAGAACTAGATCCAAAATGAAAAAGTTAGGATTTATCAAGAGAAACTGACACACCAATCAATCAATCAGTTTTATAAAACTAAAGATGCTTTGACTCTCCTGTCTAGAGTTTACATCCATTTAGTACCAGTTATACATTTCCATAACAATTTCATCTTCTATGCCAGAAATCTCTTATCAAGGGTTCACTCCCCCCATCCTTTTTTTTGACACAGGGCGTTACTTGATATAGTCCAGGCCAGCTCTGAACTTGCAGTGTAGGCCAAGCTGACCTCAAACTTAA